TAGGGGAGGGTCCCCCAAAACTTCGCGTGTCTACACTGGTCGATGACTCAACTCTCTTGGTTGAGTGTAGGGGAAGAGTCCAGATATGTAGAGTTTTGGAAACCCATCCCCTGTTTGGAGTTTGCTAAGCGCAGCCCATGGTCTACGCTACCATTAGGACTAGATCTTTGTCCAGGTAGCGGAAAACCTCTATCTCTTCAGTGCTTGGCAATCCACGGTAAGGTCTGTGCAGTCATAGACTCCTCCTTTGTCCTTGATATTTTACAAGGAGCAGTTCTGTTTATTTTAAAATGAACAGGTCCCTGCAGTTATTATAGATTTCATCTCGCAATTACCTGGAGGAGGTATTCCAGTGGAAATGGTGCCCCCGTGCAACGTACACTGCCGCTAGGTCAAATCCTTTCCAGGCTATTCAGGCCTTCCATCGCTCCAGAGTCATCTAGTGTATGCCACACTCCTCTAGGAAGATATAGACAGTGAATTGTACGTTGGCCAGCCGCTAATAAACTGATAGTAATGTAGGTCATTGCATCGGCCAAATCTATTAAGAAAATCTTATGCTACTTTGAACAAGAATGGAATGCTTCCACATTCCAAAAAAGACCTCGAATAGTTCTCTTTTTTCGATTTTCTATACATTCAGGACGGAACTCAGTGGCTACGGTACCTTGTCAAGTATGTGGCGATCGTTCCTACGGTCGACACTATGGCCAGTGGACCTGCGATGGCTGCAGTTGCTTTTTCAAACGAAGCATTCGAAAAAGCATCCTCTACACCTGCATTTGTCAGTGTTCCATTTCTGTGGTTGTTGCTAATGATTGCTTCCTGTTTGGAACTAGTTGAAAGCCAGTTCAGGCTGTTCAAGCAGGAAGCAACTGTAAGCCATAAAAAATCTACAATTCAATGCAGTTTTTGCGGGACAGAAGGGTTATCACAACTATGCTGAAGTATGAACAGAACACCAGCCAGTACTCGAGCCCGAGCTTGTGCCTTCCGAGCAGGTGCGCTAATCATTACACCACTAAGGCTAGGTTTCGCCCTAACTTTGATTTTAGAGTACATTTGCCATAGCTACGTAAGGTGAGTCGTTACTGAACTCGCCCCATTGGCGGAATGGTTAGCGCGGCCGCCCGCAATGCAAAAGACCCGCTTTCAAACCTCGGCTGAGGCAAACTGTTCTGCCTACAGCTCATCCTGATAGCTGATAAAAATGTTATATCATATCAATTTGATTGCTGATTCCAGTAAGGCAAACAAAGAAAACACAAAGGTGAATAGATAAACAAAGCAAGGAATGAAAAATAAAGGATCGAAGCAGGAAAGTAAAATTAAGGAAACAAAGTGATTCTTCTGATTTTTTAGCT